TTTTTTTTTTATTTGCGACCCTCTCCACCCTCCCCGGCTGGCGTGTGGATGCGGCCCGGGGTGTCTGGCTGCGAGGGTGGCGAGAGCAGATGCTGAGGGGCCGCAGGAGGATGGAGAGCAGCCTCGATGCGCAGAGTTTGATCAGTATTTCCCTGCGGAAGATCCACAGCTCCCGCACGCAGCGAGGCGGCATCAAGCTCCACAAGAACCTGCTCGTCTCCTATGTGCTCCGCAACGCCCGGCAGCTCTACCTGAGCGAGCGCTACGCCGAGCTGTGCCGCCGGCAGCAGCACTACCCGGAGGGCGCCGCGCTGCTCGCCATGCCCGCCGCCTGCCCGCCCGCCGCGCCGGAGCCGCCGCCGCCGCCGCCCGCGCGCCCGGGCGCGGAGCTCCTCGAGGGCCCCGTGTGCGCGGCGCCCGCCGAGCTGCAGCGCGCGCCCTGCAGAGACTCGTGCCCCGCTTTCTACCGGGCCGCCGCTCCCGGTACCGGTGCCGCTGCGGGGCTGCTCTACGCCGCCGCCTGCGACTCGCCGCCGCACTGTAGCAGCCGCACCACCGTGCTGGATTTGGACACTCACGTCGTGACCACGGTGGAGAACGGCTACCTGCACCAGGACTGCTGCTCGCAGTGCCCCTGCTGCTGCCAGCCCGCGCCCGCCTCCCCGCCGCCCGCGCCGGGCGCCAAGCGCAAGTATTACCCGGGGCACGAGGAAGAGGAGGAGGAGGAGGGGGTGGAGGAAGGGGAGCCGGGGGGAGGCGGGGTGGCGGGCGGCCCCCCCTTCGCCCCGTGCACCAAGCGCGCCCGCTTCGAGGAGTACAGCGCCGAGCACCCGCAGGACTCTAACAACATCTCCAACTTGATCTCCATCTTCGGCTCCGGTTTCACGGGGCTCGTGAGCCGGCAGCAGGACTCGGAGCAGCCGCTCAACGGGCAGCTGTGCAGCAAGCAGGCGCTGGCGAGCCTCGGAGCCTGGACTCGCGCCATCGTCGCCTTCTAGGGGGCGCGGGCAGCAGCGGGGGGACCCCCCGGCTCTGGGGGGGGACCCGGAGACAAAGGCGGGAGAAGGGGGGGGGGGGGCAGAGCCACGCTAGTGTTTTATAAATTGTACAATAAAGAAGAAAAAAGCGAAGATGTTGGGACTTTATTTTTGCAGAGATGAGAGAGAAAGGGGGAAAAAATAAACACACAWAAAGAAAATAACAACAAGCGCCCAGAGCCCCCCAGCAGCCCCCGTTTAATCCTCTTTGTGGCCGCTCCGGGGGCTGCTCGGCGGGGCCGGGGCCGCTGCTGGCGGCCGGGGCCACGTGAGAGCCCGGCCGGTCCCGCCGCTGCCCCCGGTGCTGCCGCGGCCCGGGGGGGCAGCGGAGCGCCGCTCCCCGCCGCCCTCTGTGCGGGAGAAACAAACAAAAAAACGCCCGCGAAAACAACAACAACAACAAGAGGCAGGAACGCAAACATCTCAACTTGGCTCCCCGAAAGAAACGCGCGCGACGCGACCTCCCCCCGCCGCCCGCGCCGGGGAAACGCTGCAGGGGGGCGAGAGCCCCGGGAAGGGGGGGTGGAAAACCGGGTGCCCCCCCCCTCGCCAGCCCCCGGGCTGGGGGCGAGCGCCGCCCCCCGCGCCCCACTCCGCTCCTGCGGCCGCCGCAGGTAACCGAGAGCCGCCCCCCGCCGTGCGGCGCCGGCTCCTTCCCCCCCCACACACACACTTTTTCTTTCTGTCTTTTTTAAAGTTCAACTGTTCTGGTTTCAGCCTCCCAAAAAACAAAAAAAAAAAAATCATAAAACCAGCATTGTTTGCTCTTGTGAAGGGATCTGTCTCCTGTAGCGTCTCCTATTCGCCCCCCCAACACTTTTTATTATTTTGGTTTGGTTAAAAAAGAAAAACCTTTTGTTGTAAAAAGGTGGGTTTTCTGCTCCCCCCCCCACACACCCCCCTTGTTTTCCTGCAGCTGCCCACTCCCAACTTCACGGTATCAGCACTATGTGTAACTGAGGATGCTTTGCCAAACGGTCTGGTGGGTTCCCTCCTTCCCGTCTTCTTCCCCCCCTCTTTGTTTGTAAGCCTGTATTTTTGTGCATATGGAATTGTATATCACCGGGTAAAACTGTTCAGATTTGTTTAAATTTATAATCTTAATAAAAAGTCGATTATAAAGTTGCCGTGCCCGCGCTTCTCTTGTCATTGCAGCCCGCGGGAGCCGCTGCGCCCGAGCGGCCGCTCGCGCCCAGACCCACCGAGCCCGGCGCGACCCCTCCTCACACCCCCATCCAAACGCCTTTGTCCGGCCGCCCCGCGCCCCCTTCCCCCGTTTCCCCCCCGTTTTTCCCCTAACAAAAGGCTCCGGCCGCGCGGCCCCAGGTGGGACGCGGCGGCTCCGGGGGAGCGGCAGCGACCCCGGCCCGGCCGCTACCTGCGCGCCCCGGGCCGCTCCGCTCCGCGCCCCGCTCGCCAAGTTTTTTTCTTATTTTCTCCTTTTTTTTTTTTTTTTTTTTTTTTTAAGTTGGAGTTTGTTATCACCGCTCTGTGCCACTTGGTGGTGCGTGTTGGGCTTTTTTTCTTTTTTTCTTTTTTTTGTCTTTTTTCCCCCCTTTTCTCCTCCTTTACACCCAATGAATGGAGGCAACGAGCGCTCCTGACCCACCTCCGGGCCGACCTCAGCACCGGGGAGTTTTTTG